TTTTTCTGCCTTTTATCATTCACTGGGCAGGGGTGAGCGAGTGAGCACAGCCCTCAGTGGGGTGGGTTAACACTGCGATCCTTGAAGGTTCTCAGAAGATAGTGACACAGAGAGGCAGGCAGGGAGAGCAGTGGGCTGGGGACACAGTCCTTGGCAGCACCGAAGGCCAGGAACAGGACCCCGATGCATGGAATTGGGCCCCAGCAAGTGACAGAAGACGGTCATCAAGAGCATGCTCACCTGTGTCCTGGCAACAGTTCGTGCTGGGTCCCTCCCATGCACCCCTGCAGCTCCGTCTCCTTCCCCAGGCCCCACCACTGGCTTCTGCTGCGGGCATCACTGCCCTGAGCTCAGGTTCTGGTCCGGTACCTAACGGGCTGCACCACCAACCTGCAGAAACCCATACGCCCACCATGGCCCTCATTCTTATGCACCCCTTGCGATCCCTGCTCAGGCCATGGTGACCTCCGATGACCCAACTCCATGGGACTCTTCAACATCTACACTCCAAGAAATGCAGACGGCCTGCCCCTTCTCAGAACTCTGCGTGGGCAGAACCAAACCCTCCAACTGGGATAGCCTGCCATGGCCACGAGAGGCAGTGCTCAAGAAGGACAACGAAGAGGGTTCTTGTCCAAGATGTTTAGGTGTCACAGACTACAAGACATGTGGTTAACATTTACACAGTGACTGCAGTCCTTACTGGCTCTTTTAACTTCATTTATTCCTATAAAACAAAGTAAAAAATCGGGCACATGAAAAAGAACTCTTAGGATCAAAAATGTTATTAAAAACCAGTCACACCAGGCCAGCAGGAGGTGTGGTGGAGAAGGCGTTGGTGTGGCCAACTACAGTTCGAGCCCTGGACCTGGTGGCTTGAAAATCATGCTGGGCACATGTGCAGGCGTTCCCAAAATCTCAAGAGAATAAAGGAGAAGGGACTGCAGCATGGCCATCCCCCCGGAGGGTGAATTCTCACTTTTCCTATGACTCTGTCAAGAGTACGCACTGTATGGTAAAAACTTAAAACACACACACACACACACACACACACACACACACACACAAGCCAGTTAAAGCAACAGGCATCATCACTATACCAGGTCATGAGGCAAATTCTCTCTCTAGTATCCACACCACACCTGTCAGATCTTCCTATCCGCCCACCCCCACCTCCCTAGATTCTCATGGGACTCCCAGATTCCAGCTCAGGTTCTAGTTTGGTTTCAAGCCCATGGAGAGGGACGCAGCTATGTGTTGGTTCCTGGCACCACCTCCTGGTCTCACCTAGGTATTGCATCTTCCACCTAATCCTACAAGTGGAAAGAAACACATTTATACAACCCTACCCTACTTCAAATTTCAGCTAGGTCTCTTAACAGTGAGACCATGGGCAAGTTGATTAACTTGGAAGGACTGTGACAAAGTATCTGTAAAGACTATTACCATTAAAACAATGAAAAGATATGTATGCACTGGGACCAGCAGTTAGCATAATGACTATGTCGCTGGACTCCCATGTAGTCGACCACGGTTCGCGTCCCAGACCCAGTGGCTTAAACTCACTTCAGGCGCGTGTGCATGCATGCCCAAGATCCCTAGAGGAGAATGGAGAAGGGACTGTGGCATGGCCATCCCCCCTGGGGGGTGATTTCTCGCTTTCTGTCTCTCTGTCTCCCTCTGTCTTTCTGGCGAGCGCATGTGCCCTATAGCAAAAACCTCTCCAAAAAGAGAGAGAGAGAGAGAAGCTTTGCTCTAGTTTATGCCAGTTGCCAAGGAAGTACAGGCTATAAAGTTAGCGCCTTAAAGGACAGCAGGACAGCAAGTGGCAAGGGGAAGAAAGTTTCAGAGTTGGAGATAAAAGCTAACCGTTAGGGCCTACAGGTGGCTTGGCAGTTAGGGCACTGGACTTCACACAGCCAGCCATGGCTCAGGCTCAGATCTTGAAGATCACACTGGGCTCCTGTGCATGCAAGCCCAAAATCCCAAGAGGAGAATGGAGAAGGAACTGCAGCAGCCATCTCCCCGGGGGAGACTGCTCACTTGCCCTATATGTCTCTCTCCCACAAGCACACACACCCTACAGCAAAACCTATAAAAAAGTTCAGCCTCGGGAACCAGCAGTTAGCGTAATGGCTATGTCGCTGGACTCCCACGTAGTCGACCGCGGTTCGTGTCCCGGACCCGGTGGCTTAAAACTCACGCCGGGCGCGCGTGCGTGCCCAAGTTCCCGAGAGGAGAATGGAGGAGAAGGGATTGCGGCGTGACCATCCCCCCTGGGGGGTGATTTCTCGCTTTCTGTCTCTATGTCTCTCTCTGTCTGTCTGGCAAGCGCACGCGCCCTACAGTGAAAATCTCTCCAAAAAAAAAAAAAAAAATGTTCAGCCTCATCCTGCCAGCTGGGAGAAATGAAACTTCATTGCGAAGGTACCCTCTCAGGATATAACCTGGTCCACACCCCACAGCCTGACCCAACCAGCGCTAACTACCACTGGGCAAAAAGATCTTTGTCCAGCCAGCATGCAGCATAGAGGTTAAGATAACTGAATCCTACATAGAGGACTTTACGGTTCAAGTCCCAGCCCCGGCAGCTTGAAAATCACACCAGGTGTATGTCTATGTGTGCCCAAAATCCTAAGAGGAGAATGGAGAAGGGATTGCTGTGTGGCCATGCCCTTGGGGCAAGGGGGATTTCTCAGTTTCCTACTCTCTCCAGCAAGTGCATGCTCCCTAAGGCAAAAGAAAAAACAAAGAGGCACTTGTCAACACATCTGAGCTACTCAAGTGACAAGGCCTGTAAGAACTTCCAAGAAATGTGGTATTATCTGTTGAAGATAGTTTATAGTTTTATCAACTGTACTAGGAAGAAATGTTCACCTGTTGAAATACTCACTTTGTAAGCTAAATAATGTGATTGAATGTATAAAAGAAAATGAAATAAAAATTAAAAAAAAAAAAAAAACCTTCCTCCACGACCTCCCCTGATAACTCAGAGTCTAAATTTATTCGTGCCACACTTGGTTAGGTCCTACTTGTGCTCCTGTCTGCTACCAAACTACAAATCCTTTGCCAGGCACCCTCAAAGTCAGCCCAAGAGTGCAGGCCCACATCCTTGCTGGAGAAGTAAGGACGAAGCAACAGGGCTGGCCTCGTAACTCACTGGAGGAGCAATCCGCAACTCGGGGTTGACAAGGACTGGGACGAGTGCCCTGGTCTTTGTCACCCAGCGCACAGGAAACGTCTGGAGTCCTGGGACACTGGGCTGAAAGGGCCACACAGCCAGGACTACTAATTGGCATGCAGGTGTTCGCCAGGGACGCATGTCACTCCGACACTGAATGCGTCTTAGTTCTGTTAAGTCTATCTGGATCTAAGAACTCCCAGACCTGAGAGTTCTAAAGCTGCACACGTTTTAAGAACTAATCCCAAATGGACACTCAAAAATGAAAAAAAAAAGCAATGATGTACACTATGAAATTATATAGTGATTAACTGTAAATTTTAAAAATAAATTAATTGAAAATAATACTGTTTTATAAAGCCTGGATCAACGGATAGGAACAGAAACTGACAGAGCCTGTACTTGAGAGCAGAGGCTCCTCTCCCTGTAAGCTAACTGGGGAACGCCACCAAGGAGCCGCTTCTCAGCGTCCACAGGAAGCGGGCCAGCCCAGGGAGGGAGCACTCACAGGCAGTTTAGGAAATCATTCGTCTTTGGGACCAGCAGATGGGGTAATAGTTACATCTCTGGACTCCCACATAGTCGATGGCAGTTTGAGTTCCACACCTCATGGCTTAAGACTCAGGCCAGGCGCATGTGCATGTGTGCCCAAAATCCTAAGAAGAGACTGGAGGAGAAGGGACTGCAGCATGGCCATCCCCCCGGGGGGGTGATTTCTCGCTTTCTGTTGCTCTGTCTGTCTGTCTTCCCAGCCAGTGCACTCACCCTATAGCAAAAACCTCTCTTAACAAAGAAAAGAAAAGAAAGAAATGTTGATCTTCCAAATCTGAGCTGAGGACTTGGCCTACATCAGAGAAGGCAAGGTGAATGAGGACTACTGCCCCCATTCCAGAAAAGGCTAAGCTGTAGGAAGGCTCGGCAGGAAAGGCCTGTGAGGATCCGCGGTCACAAAGACACTCAGCGTGAAGCTGGAGCTGAGGAAAGGCCCGTGGCTCTCGACCCAAGGAGTGAAGAGCAGGATGTCTAGACCTGCACCCCCTCACTTCCGCCTATAATGAACCGCCTATACCCAACACATACTGCTTAAGCCCGGTAAAATGTGCCTAGTCTGGGTACATATTCTTAATTTCTAATCATCAAGAAAACTTTACTTTCTGTACTGTAAGCTACGTGGCTTTCTTCTGATCATATGCCACCGAACCACTACAATAAGCAATCCCGAAGGATTTTTCTTCCACTCAAGGGAATACCCTTATGTTTGGATCCATCTATTGTACAAAGTTAACAAAGCAGTGACTGGTACCTGAGTGGTCTGGATATGAGTCTCAATCCTAAGGATTTTACTTTAACATTCCCCATCCAAAGAGCACCAGTGGAAATGTAATACAAACACATCAGTGTGGATATTTGCAGTTTAATGGTCTTAATAACTGCAGTTATAAAAATTTAAGAGCTATCGTATTTTGGTGGCAATTAGAGTTATTGATATTCCTGAAATTCATTTGAGCGCTTACTGTAACTTTATCAAAAAAATGGGCCTATGATATGACTTTGGAAATAATAAATTGTTTTACAATCTTAACACTATTAAGAAAAACTTATTGCCATGAAATTAAACTACAGCCACATTTAAAATTCCATCAAAATAAATTGGTCTTTATCAAAATACTGATATACTTAAAACATATTTAATATTGACCCGATTTAGTGGAAATATACACTGCTCCACTTACAGTCAATATGCTGAAATTAACACTTTTATTAATTCTCTCCAGCAGCTGCAGAGACTGAGTGCTCACGGTTCAGAGCACCGAGCAGCATCCCTCAAACAACCCCACGAGGACGGGGTCTGTGCAGTAACTGAAGCTGCAGTGAGAAACGGCCGTGACTGAATTTAAGTCACGGGCCATCGAATGATCTTTTTAAAGAATCATGCTGCAGTTACTGAGCAGACCCCCACGGACCTCCCCAAGGTTAGGGAACGGGCACAGGTCTGGGCCTGGTCACCCACAGTTCTAAATAGGGAAGAAAAAGATCAGGCCAACCTTCCTTCACCATGGCCAGAGGAAAACTCCCACACAGGGAAGTAAGAACTGCCGCGGACTGAGAAAACCAAGGTATTTAAAAGCGACGCGGCGTCCTCCCTCTAACTTCCTCTGAGCTCCCTGGGAGCTGACAGGAGACTTGAGGGGCAGTGGTGTAGCGCCCAGCAGGAGGCAGGAGGCAGGAGAGAGGCCTGCCCAGCAGACTGGGCTCTGCCAGTGGCACACAGAGATCACAGAGAACATGCGGCTACACGCCACCCTGGCTCCATGGTATCCACACTCACCTCCCTGCCCCCTCACACTACACACTGACAAAGCCAGGGATGCAAAAGCCGCAGCAGGCCCTGGCAGGAGCACAGCCAGTGGAGACTGACCTTAACCGCTGCTTGTAATAATCTTCATCGCCATCATCTCGGCACCGCACCTTCCGGCCTCCGCCTCCGCCTCCTCCTGTGGCTTCGGCTTCTTCCCCAGAACTTGGGGAAGAGTCATCATCGATGTCCAGCGCCAGGACCTTCCTCTGTCGTTTCCGGCTCTTGGGCATGGGCTTCAGTTCATAGTCGGTGCCGTCTCCAGACAGGTCCGCCCCAGCTGCCGCCTCCTCTTCCTCCTCCTCCTCCTCCTCCTCCTCGGTGGGCAAATACTCAGACCCTTCGCTCTCAGAGTCTCCCTCTGCCTTTGGCCGCCCCTCTGGTTCCAGGGGCTTCCTTCTCTTTGGCAATCCCATTTTCCCCTGGGTCTGCAGGGCCCTCTTCTGCAGTTTCTTCATGTGCTTTTGCAAGCGCTTATCTGCTCTCGAGAGAACTCTGCTTCTCTGGTTTGGTCTGTTTTCGTTTCGTGTTGGGCTCACCTTAGAAGGGTCCAAGGCTGGGGCTTTTCTAGCTGCTCTTTTATTACAAGCTTGTTTCTTCCTCTCAAAAGAGAGTTTTGCTTGATCGGCCAAATACTTTTCAAAGCCTGACGCTTCGTTGAGCATTATCTTTCTAGGCTTTTTCTCCTGTTTCTGAGGGATCCGGGTACCAAAAGGTGTCATCTGGCCAGTGCGGATGAGCTCCTCCCAGGCCGCCTCCTGCACAGGCATGAGCATGCTGCCGAGACAGGACGGGCCCGGTTCTGAAAGAGCAACACAGAGCATTTGGGGCTAGCATACACCACTGAGAGCACAGGAACAGTAACCAGGACGCACCTACAGCCAACCACGTAAGACTAGCACTGACGTTCCACAGCACATTAATACGAAGAGCAGGTAAAATTATTGCAGTGTTTATCCTGCCGTATTTAACATCTTCCTGTTCAGGAAGGTGAGCTCTTAGTAACTTTGCTGTAAAATATTGCATTTAAAAGCACTCTCTATGCAGCTACACGCAGACCTAGCACTGCATAAATCACAGCTGTAAGAAAGATAAATCTAGCCTGCTTCCGTAGAAACCGAGCAGCTCATGAGTTTGCAATCTCCCTCATTTCCCTGCCATTACCAATGTCCAGTGCAATGCTGAATAGGAACAGTGCCACTGAGAAGCTCTCCTCCTCCCCGGTCACAGTGGCAAAGCCAGAGTTTCATTTTGTTTATCATTTGTCCTCACCTCTCCTACTTCCAGGAACGAATTCTGTCAGGCAATCTTCACCACCGCCTTGAGGAGACCAGGAGAAAGGAAACCTCAGGGAGCACACGAGCAGAGAAGTGGAGGATCACTGTTCTCACACCTACCACATGGGTTCAAACAGACTTAGACGCGAGGAACGTAGCCAGGGTCCATAGCCAAGCAATGCCAGTCGGGCCCACAAAGCCTGGGTGCCTCTGCTCTAGCGCCTCCCTGGACAGGAGGGAGGACGGAGGAGGGAGGGGTGAGCCAGACCAAGACTAAAGACTGAGTGCTGGCTAGTGCCCTGCTGGAGACGGACAGCAGGAACCAGGACTCAGAAAGGGCAAGGCCAGAGGCCTACAGACTGCTAAGATATTAGAACCCAGGTGACTACAGAAGCACTTCACAGGCAGTGAACAGATTGTTCAGGGAGCGGGGGAAAAGCAAGAAGCAGGCTCAGCAAGAAATGCTGAGAAACATCAGCATTTAAGATAAGGCAAAAAAAGCTGGCCAGAAATAACTAAACAGAAGTAGTTAGGACGGCCGTAGGGAAAACCAGGAGCGAGGCAGAAATCTCAGAGGGCACAGCAAGAACCAGCTGCTGTGCACAGACTGAGCAGAACGAGGGTAGAGAAGAGCTTTTGGATTCAGGGAGGCGACTACCCCCAGACAGAGTGTTTTTGCAGCGACGAAGTGAAAGACGGCAACAGGTTCTACTGGGCCGTCGGCAAAGTCAGAACGCATTTTTGCATAGAAATAAATGCATCATGATTTTTCCGACGACCCAGCAGATGGCCAGACAGGACCAAACATCCGTTACCAATGAAAACTACAGTGCCGCAGCAGAAGGAGGCACTGTCCGTGGGTCCTGATGAACTCCGGCAGACAGAGCCTTCAAAGTACTTCTAATATTTCTATCACCTCGATTAACTCTTCATAACACCCTTGTCTTACTGAATGTATGTGTGGAGCTAGTAAAAACTATTCACCTGGGGACCAGCAGTTAGCGTAATGGCTATGTCGCTGAACTCCCATGTAGTCGACTGAGGTTCAAATCCTGGACCTGGTGGCTTAAACTCACACCAGGCGCGTGTGCATGCGTGCCCAAGATCCCAAGAGGAGAATGGAGGAAAAGGGATTACAGCGTGGCCATCCCCCCTGGGGGGTGATTTCTCGCTTTTGTCTCTGTCTCTCTGGCGAGTACACATACCATATAGCAAAAACCTCTCCAAAAAAAAAGCTATTCATCTGAAGAGCTTAAATGCTCGGACACCTTAGTCTACAGTTTGAGTGATAAACAACTAAGCAGTTATCAACATTTTCTAGCACGCACGCGCACACATACGCACACATACACACACTCAGATCCAGAGCTTATGCATTTTCCCAAAAGGTTTTCCGAATCACAGTCATCCAAGGCAGTCATATAAACCATGTGGCCATGGTATAACCTAAACAAAGATGTCTTCTCTTTTCCTTTCCTTTTTTAATTTGCTATAGGGCGTACGTGGGGGGGGGGGGGGGGGGGGGGGGGGGGCAGAGGTAGGAGAGAGAGACAGAAAGGGAAGGAAGAGAGAAAGTAAGTGAGAAAGCACCTCCCAGGAGGGATGGCCATGTATAATCCCTTCTCTTCCCTTCATCTCTCAGGCTTTTAGGGACAAATGTACACACTCTCAGTGTGCTTTACAAGCGGCCCAGCTTGGGACTCGAACTGTGCAATCAGCCACGTGAGTCTAGCTGCCTTAACTGCCATAACTAAACCTCTGGCTGGCCCTGAGAATGTCTTTTCTTAAACAACAGAACTGATGTGCTTGGAAAGCCTGCCAAGTATGCTCCTTAAAGATACGTGAGCGCAGTTCTACAAATGCTGACTGATGGTGCTGAGCTCCCAAATGTTACTCAATCAAGACGTGAGCTGCCTTTATCAAATTAAGCACATAAGAAGTTAAAAGTTTCCAATATATTAACTAGTACTAAATGTGAACCAATAGCCTCTATTGAACTGAGTTAAGAATTACTTTCATTCTCTAAAAACCCCTCTGATTAAAAAGATTTGGTTCTGTGGGAATAGACAACAAAATTCTTCTAAATCTGTTTTGACACTAAGGCAAAGAAAAGCCTTTTTCTCAAAACCCAGGCAGAGACTAAAGAGACACCCTCCACTGATCACGGGGATCAGGTATCGCTTCGGGAACACAGAGACTGCGCCCCACTCCTCACCTGCATCCTCCTCCTCCAGGCTGGCCGGATCCAGTTCAGCTTTTATCTCTGCCCCACCAAGGATGGCCTGGAGACGTTTCTGCTTTGCAGTGATCTTCTTTAGCTGCTGCTCCTTGAATGGCAAATACCAAATGTAAGTATTTGGTAAAATCGAAAACAGCAATGAGGTGACTTACTGTTTAATACAAAACTCAGCATCGTGAAATTTTAGACCTTGAATCAAAAGTAAAACAGAAACGCCACATATCACTACTACTGTAGAGAACCTAATTTAATGACAACCACTCTCTAGCAGCGGACGGACCTCAGAGTGGAGCCACGAGGCAGGCACCCCTGCACAGCACTCTCCTGGCAGCTGTCCACGCGCCCAAGTGCCAACGCACACGGTACTGATGTGGGAGGTGGGTTCCCCACGTGGCTTCCCCATCACATGCCAGGCAAGGCATGAGAGGTCTCTGTTTCCCACCTTTACAGCCAAAAGGCCCCAGTATTCAGTAGGCCACGGGCTGGGAAATAAAAATACGCCCATTCAAAGTAAGAACAAGCCAGCCCCTTGATAACCGCCCGTACTTATGACTGTCCTTTACAGCGGGATGCCCAATCACAAACAGAAAAACACAGCTGCTCTGCCCGGTACCCACGCAGGCCCCGGACACTCATCCTGGTCCCCAGCATCACGGGAGCTTGGTTCCTGGCCTAGGCAGGGCCTCCCAGTCTGAGCGGTACCTGAGGCTGTGGCCCCTGGGGTGTCTTCCCCAGACAAAGACTGTGTCAGCTGCGAGTACGAGCGTGGGATGAGGGGAAACTGAGCAGGCGCCACCCTGCAGTGGTTTGCAGTGTTTTCCTCAGTCTTTCTCTCAGCAAAATCCCACCGAACACGCTTGCCCTGGGACAGTACGTCTCTAAACATCAAAGAGCTGTTAAAGGAGGGCGGGGGTGTAATTTACTTAAACCAGGACCTGAAGTGGCCAAAACTGAGGTCCTTTTCACCCCTTGTAGTCCCAGCCCACCGAAAGCCCAAGAAGGTGAGAGAAGGTCTTCTGCAAATCAACTCATAGGCCCCCAGAGGCCAAAGGTCCCCTCTTCAATTTGGGGGCCCCGGCTGCTTCAAGCTACTGCCAGCTCTGACCTCCAGGACACTGCTCAGGAGGAGGCGCATGAAAGCAGCGGGGCTGGTGAGGGTACCGGATGGTGAGAGAACGTGAAGGAGGGCCACCTGCACGGAGCCGCATGCTCTCACCAGCAGCACTTGAGTAGGAGACCCAAGGGACTCACTAGCTGCCAGGAATCAACAACACGCACAGGAACGTCTTCTGGTCATTGTGGACGGAGGACCTTGATCTAAGGCAATCAGAACCCGTCCCTCTACCTGCTGCAACGTGGCTTCATAAAGGGGAATGTCTATCCTGAACCATGTTTCACACCTCACAAAGCTAGACATAAATCCCACAGAAACAGTTTCACAGGCAACAGATGGTCCTGACCTTAATTCCCCAACTAAGGTGCAGCCCCAGCATGGCTGGTGCCACTGGAACACCTAAGACAGGGATGCAGGGCCAGCCTGGCAGGGCAGCAAACATGCAAGGGGCAGTGACCACAGAGGGTGGGGGCGAACTGTGCAAGCAGAAGCTAAGCAGGTGAAGAGGAAGTGGCGTGAGACAGGAGACTGAATGAAAGGCCAGCATGCCAAACAGGAGCTGAAGGGGAGCAGAGAAAACAGAGGTGAACAAGGCTGTGAAGGGAGGGCATGAGGGAAGGGGCAGAGCTGAAAGAGACTTTTTCTCAAATATACTTATGTAGATGCCCCTGTGCATGCTGTTAAAAATACTGTGTAACAGGGGTCAGCAGGTGGCGTCATGGTTACAGCACTGGACTCCCAGGTAGTCAACCGCAGTTCGAGGCCTGAACTTGGCAGCTTAAAACAGGCCAGGGCACACGTGCATGTGTGCCCAAAATCCCAAGAGGAGATTGTAGGAGAAGGGGTTGTGGCATAGCCATCCCCCCGGGGTGTGATTTCTCACTGTCTGTCTCTCTCCTTCTCTCCAGCAAGCACATGCACCCTATAGCAAAAATAAATAAGTAAACAAAATAACACTCTTAAAAAGAAAACTAAAAAAAACACTGCATAACAGAGGATGCTAAAGGAAAACAGCTGAGACGTTATATAAAAGCAACTCAACATTTCTGTTATAATTACTAATACTTGCCCCATATCTTAGAAGTATTTTCCATAATACTCCCCAAATTATCAGACGGGCCTGAATGATGACTTTTTAAGGCATGCTGTATTTAGTAACAAGCTTACTGTGACTCACCTTGTTGCACTTCTGTCGTCTCACAGAGTCTAGTTTCCGGCTGACATCTTTGTTGGTGGCAGCCTGAGGGCTCAGTTGTTCAATAATTTTATTGATTTGCCTCAGGGATATTGTACATGACCTGAAAAATAAGAGAAACTGTCTATTTTCTACTCTGGTAACATTTTTATGGCATACTATAAAGAAAAGTACTGAAAACAGATCCCTCTTACCTCCTATTAACTGAAAGGTAACAGAAGACTAGGTCAGCGCCGCAGCCTACTGGTTAAAAGAAACTAACCAGGACGCATACTCTCATTGGCCACAGGTAAACCATGAAGGGCTGCAAGAAGCTTAAGATGACGGCTAGTGTTTTACTTTCACCCAGCCGATTTAAATCAGTTCATTCCTATTTGTGAGTTGATTCATTCACTGTATAAGGTTTTTTGGTTTGGGGCTTTTTCTTTTTTTTAGAAAGTGAGAAGAGACAGACAGAGGCATTTTTAAGAGTCTTGCCATGTCGCCATCCACCGCCCCAGCTCCCCAGCTAGCGGGGACCATGGGTGTGTGCCACTGCACCCAGCCTGCCCTAGGTTGGTATGGGAGCCAACCCTGAGCTACCCACGTGGCTCCAGTCTCACACTGAGGTGCCCCACGGCCTGCATCATGAGCACTGGGCTGCTACAAGCATTTCCTAAGTGTCTACTTCATCAAGATACTGTGCTAGGACGGTGTGTGGTAAGCTGTCTTTACATGAAGAAGTGCGCGCATGGACTTTCAAAGTCCAATATGGAAGCCTCCCAAAGTCTGGAAAGATCCTAAAAATGCTTAAATATGTTCTGTAAGAATCCCACATCTGTGGCAATATTTCTCTTTCAAACACAACTGAAAGATTCATTTACTGTGGCATTAAACTTTGCAGCATGAAGAAAAACATCAATTTAAAATAAATTAGTCCTAAAGTAGACACTGTAGCATTGCAGCTTCTAGTTTTCAAAACACAGATCAAATGTCTTGACATCAGTGTAGCTGGCTGTTTGCACCCTTAGTGGATTTCAGGACAAATGATGCTAGTTACTGGTAGTCTAAGGCAGTACATGTTCCCAGCCATCTGTCCTTTGTCCCCTCTGCACAGAAGTGGACACATTTCCAGTATCAAACACAAAAGGTATTCATTACAAGTTGAGGTCCTAAACACTCAATGTCAGACTACAACCACTCAAGAGGCCAAAGAAGCGACCAGGAGACTGCTGACAGAAAACATGTCCCCATGGTGCCAACGGCCACTCTACTACGGCCTCCCCAACTAGGTGGGCATTGGATCCACGGTCACCCAAGTTCAGCCATTCCTCCACCTGGTCTAGGTCTCACCTTTGCTTTCTCACTTGCCCAGGACTGCCCAGAACCACTGCCCGATGGGGACAGCTTGGCCACGAGGTGAGCCCAACCCTCCACCACTCCAGTCCTCACCCCCGACCACGGCCAGGTCCACAGGCTCGCCATGCCCACCCAGGTGCTACGTGTGTCTCTCCTTTCAAACACTGTGAAGTCTCCATGAGACTTCATCTTTCCTTATGGAGTCAAAAGCAGGACAGAAAAAAGGAAAAGTAAGGAGTTTCTTCTCCTGATTTCTAGAAACACAAACCTGAAAAACTGCCAAAGGACTGAACGCTCAGTGAGGGGATGGCAAGCTGGAAAGAAACTGCATGGCAGAGAAAATGTAAGGGGCAGATGTGGCCCTGGCATCTCATTGGATGACACCCTGAGACCTCTGTCCACGTGCTCGCACCTGCCGGGGCACTCCGAGCAGCCCCCGTCAGTACACGGTATAGGACATCGGCTTTGTGAGCTTGACTGAGCCCCTCACCACAGGGGACAGCGCTGCTCCTGAGGGCAGGGCTCAGGCTCAAAGACGAGGCTGAGCCCTGCCTTACGGACTCATCCCTGAACATGAGGGTCTAGAAATCTCTGAAAATCCTGGAATACCAGAGCTCTCTATTACCTGAACTTCCCCCTCACGTTTAAATACAAACTGTGACAGACAGCAGACAGGCCACACTCACGTGAGGTCATCCAGGACAGACCGATACTCCTTCTCGGCGTCAGCGCGCTGGGCTGCGCGGCTGGCCTCATGAATGGCCGTGTCCACCTGCTGAAGCACGCCCTGCTCCAGCACGTCCTGGTCGTAGACGTCCACGCCCAGACCCTGCAGTTCAAGGGCCTGCGCGCTCGGCTCCACCGCCTGGATCCGATGTCTGTCGATGTGCAGCAAGGCCGGCCCCCTCCTCAGAGCCTCCACACAGCCCTCAGCAGAGGCAGACGGCCCACTGTCAGAGGAACAGGAGGGGAGGCTCTCCCCTGCCTCTGCGGCACCATCGCTGCCCTGCCTGCTCGCTGCTTCCTCATCATTGCTGACGCGCTGACTCTGGGGACAGTCAGGCTCTGTGGTGTGACTGGAGGCAGGCATCCCCTCATTTGGCATCCTCTATAGACTATCTAAAAGGAACAAAAAAATTGGGTAAGTCTTTTGATTATATAAACTTAACTTTATATAGTTTCTTAACTATTTCAGACTTAAAGCAGATCTCTCAAAAGATCAAGAAATAACTATCCAGTTACATAAGTTAAGGTTTGTTAAATATTAATTTCTTAGAGATAAACTATATACTGTCTTGAGCTCTGACAATAAGAAAAATTAACTCAAAAAAGGGAAAAAAAAAAAGTCATAGTACCACCAAGAAAGAACATTTGGGCAGCCAGCTGAGAAAGCCAGCGGCCGACCTCCTGGGTGCCACTCAGGGCATGTTCTCCCGAACAGCTGGAGCGCTCTGGCTGCAGAGTCCCCGTCAGCACCGTCACCTCGCTACGGCACGAGGGATCCGCATCACTGTGGCATGAGTACCCGGGATGCACAGAGCCCGCGACGTAAACAGCTAGTGAACAAATCCAATTCTAGAAACTTCGAGGCTGAACATCTACCCAATAAAAGAAACTTTGAAGAAATCAGAATCTCAGAAAAGATGAATTAGAATATACCAAAAATAGCCCCATTTCAATACACAATATAATTTCTCACTGACGAGGCTGGCAAGAATGTGAAGCCTGAGAGTCCCGTACGTAGACAGGGAGAAAGGCGCACGCTCGTCCGCGGCTGGTGGGCTATGAGTCAGTAAAGCCGTTACGGGGACAAGTTAACAACATCCAGCAGGGCTGAAAAGGCACGTGACCCCTGCCCAGCAATTCCAGCTGTAGGTATTCATTTCAGAGAAATGCTCACACGCAGTTACCAGGATCAGACGTGTCTCGAGTAGTCAGTGTTGCTACCGAGTATTTTCTGTGGAACTAGAACAAAAGTCACATGAAGTGGAAAGAGTCACAGACGTAATATAAACCCAACTGTGTTAAAAGAAATGTGTATCCACACCTGCGTGCATGGACGCACACTCAAAGATCCGTATTGATGCACAGTAAACGAACACCAGGAGAGAAAGCAGAAGAAAACAGTAACTAAAAGGGAATGTTTGCAATCTACTCCACGTACTCAGAAACTCCTTAAAGGGGAATATATTCAGTGCCCTAGCTGCAGTAACTACAATACCTAACAGCGCCTTTCAAAGGAAAGCCATCACCACGACAGCCTCTTTACGTAACTGAATTAATCAAAGTGTCTTTCACACCAAAACTTTATTTCTACGAAATGATGGTAAGTTCCTCCAAGGAGCCTCGCTTAGTCCTCATTAAATCAAACAATCCCAAAGCCCAAGCACGGGGATGCAAAGATGCCAACAATTTTCCATCATCTGCCCCCAAATGGCTCATGATAGGAACACACCGGTGACAGCATTGGAGAGCTGGAGAGCGGGACAACAGGACGAGAGGCCCCGGGAGCATGACGAGAGAACCACGCACTGCATCAGGAACCCAAGAAACTTCAGGGGAAAGCTAAGGCTGGAACACGGGCCCACGCCTGCCATAGCAGAGGTACTCAGGGGAGTCTGAAGGTTGGTGTGGGCAAACGAGTCACCCGTGAATTCACGCACAAAATGAGGTTCTCCAAAAGGAAGAGGCCAGCACCGTGTGCAGCAAGCAGTCAGGGACCCAGACCTGAGCTCCTGGGCCAGGTCTGGGTGGGGTGCGAAGGCTCGGCTGAGCGAGCAGCTCCAGGGGCCCAGCTCTGACAGTCCCAGGGACCATCATAGAGGGTGAGAGGAGGCTAGCACTGCAAAGGTTCAAGGTGGATGGCAGAGTGAGGAAGCACCTCCTTTTTGGGGCTTCCAACAGTCTTCAAGAGAAAGGCTCAGCTTGGTCTCAACTCCCTGTGCAACAGAGGGGACAGTGCTGGGGCTCGGAGCCTTTGTGCCAGCTGGAACTCAGCGCTGCTTCTCCTTTGTACACACACCAGGATTTTTTTTTTTTAATTGCCAGAGGGTATATATGCTTGTCAGAGAGATGGAGAAAAAGAGAAGGTGCTACCCAACGGGGTGCGGTCATGCCACAATCTCATCTCCTCAGTTTCTCCACCCTGTTGAGATGATGAGCATGCGTGTGCGTGTGCACGCATACACACACACACACACACACACACACACACACACACAGTGTTTTTCTAAATCAAACAATCCCAAAGCCCAAGCACGGGGATGCAAAGATGCCAACAATTTTCCATCATCTGCCCCCAAATGGCTCATGATAGGAACACACCGGTGACAGCATTGGAGAGCTGGAGAGCGGGACAACAGGACGAGAGGCCCCGGGAGCATGATGAGAGAACCACGCACTGCATCAGGAACCCAAGAAACTTCAGGGGAAAGCTAAGGCTGGAACACGGGCCCACGCCTGCCATAGCAGAGGTACTCAGGGGAGTCTGAAGGTTGGTGTGGGCAAACGAGTCACCCGTGAATTCACGCACAAAATGAGGTTCTCCAAAAGGAAGAGGCCAGCACCGTGTGCAGCAAGCAGTCAGGGACCCAGACCTGAGCTCCTGGGCCAGGTCTGGGTGGGGTGCGAAGGCTCGGCTGAGCGAGCAGCTCCAGGGGCCCAGCTCTGACAGTCCCAGGGACCATCATAGAGGGTGAGAGGAGGCTAGCACTGCAAAGGTTCAAGGTGGATGGCAGAGTGAGGAAGCACCTCCTTTTTGGGGCTTCCAACAGTCTTCAAGAGAAAGGCTCAGCTTGGTCTCAACTCCCTGTGCAACAGAGGGGACAGTGCTGGGGCTCGGAGCCTTTGTGCCAGCTGGAACTCAGCGCTGCTTCTCCTTTGTACACACACCAGGATTTTTTTTTTTTTAATTGCCAGAGGGTATATATGCTTGTCAGAGAGATGGAGAAAAAGAGAAGGTGCTACCCAACGGGGTGCGGTCATGCCACAATCTCATCTCCTCAGTTTCTCCACCCTGTTGAGATGATGAGCATGCGTGTGCGTGTGCACGCATACACATACACACACACACACACACACACACACAGTGTTTTTCAAGTTGCCACATCCAGGATTCAAAACAATTCCATTAATTATTGGGCTATGGGGCCAATCCTAGGATTTCTTTCTATGTTTAAAAAAAAAAAAAGAAGTCAATTCAATCAAAAATTTTAAGTAATGGTATTACAGTTCAAAGACAAGTTTAAAAAATGAATTTTGGAGGGAACCAGCAGTTAGCGTAATGGCTATGTCGCTGGACTCCCACGTAGTCGACCGCGGTTCGCGTCCCGGACCCGGTGGCTTAAAACTCACGCCGGGCGCGTGTGCGTGCGTACCCAAGATCCCGAGAGGAGAATGGAGGAGAAGGGATTGCGGCGTGACCATCCCCCCTGGGGGGTGATTTCTCGCTTTCTGTCTCTATGTCTCTCTCTGTCTGGCGAGCGCACGCGCCCTACAGTGAAAATCTCTCCAAAGAAAAAAAAAAAAAGAATTTTGGAGAAAATTTCTAATAGTAATAATAATAATAGTAGTAATAATAATAGTGTGAATAGTTAAAAGTAGAAAATGATATGCTAAAATCACATAAAGAAATCAGAAAGGGTTCAGTTGACTTGACCAACAATTCCTAATTAAAATCGTGGGGCGTGCCCCACAGCCTAGTAGTTAAGGAAGATAGACTGATCGATCCCATGTGGCCAACCACAATTCAAGTTCCCAGCTCTGGTGGCTTGAGAAACACCCTGGGCACATGTGCATACACGCCCAAGCCCTTGACAGAATGGAGAAATGGAGCAGAAAGGATTATAGTGTGGCTGCGCCCACTGTGCTTTCTCCTGGTCTCCCTCCTTCTTTCCTTCCCATCTCTCTAGCAAATACAAGCAATGGGGGAGGGGGACTGAAGTAGGTGTGAGGTTCAAAAGGTTCGCTGATACAGTAACATTTAAGCCATATCTGAAGGATGAACAAGAGTGCACCAGCCCTAAACTGAATTGACCTTGTTACAATGAAATAACAGTGTAACTTAGAGACAAAAAAGGAGTGGTGCATTTAGGAAAAGGAGGGCTGGAAAGCGGCAAGGATTTTTCACAGTAAAAGCTCCATTCACTGTAAGTCTTACAGAATATCCTCTAGTACCCTGCAAGATTAAATCACCTGGGGAAACAGCACGTTCACTATCCTCCACTTTGAGCATAGGCTTCTGTGGCCAGGGACCAGCTGGACCCTTGTATGGAGAGCTGATAGAACACACGCACAGCCTCACACAGGGCCTGGGACAACCTGAGCTCAGTTCTATTCTAAGTGCAGTGGAATGACTTTGAAGAGTTTTATGCAGGGGGCGATGGCATGGCCCAATTTACGTTTGTAAAAGACTAGGTGGGCTACTGCAGGGTTAATGGATGGGAGGAAACCGTGCGATGCAGGGGACGTCCAGGAGCACAATGACAGCAGCCTGCAACAGGGTGACGGCAGTGCAAACGGACTAGGTGGGAAGTCAGGGTACAGCATGTCACAAGGAACGCTCACTTGATCCTTCACACTCCAACCCGACATCCATTTCCAAAGTCCGAACAAGTATGTATCCCGACTGTCTCTTTCAAATAACCACTCCAGTATTTTAAGCGAGTTCAACAGGGCCCGGCCATGTCCGAGAAGCCGATGCTCCATTGTCGTCCCACCGCCTTCAGTACTAGTTTAGCCACTGGGACCTGATCGCCCCAGGTGAGCGCGCCCCGCAGCGTCACTTCCGGTCGCAGGTGAGCCGGCCGGAAAACGCGCGCCTCGCCCCAGGGCCGGCTCCCGGCAGCCCGCGCGGGGGCTCCGTCACCGCGGCCAGAGCCCAGGCAGGTGGGGTCGCGACCGCCCTAGGGGCCGAAACCGGCGGCCACCCCCCCCCGACATCCGGCGGGGGCAA